TTCAACAGGAGGCTAACATCTCGCGTAAATAAAAGCTAAGTTGTGCTGAAACCAAGACTAAACCAGTAAATCTGACCGCCACCATAAAACACCATGACAATAACTAAGTTGAAATTTTTCAGGTAACTACTCACAACCAAAATATGGTGTTGATTTTTTTTTTCACATTCTCAAATCCATCTCACTCATTTCATGCTAGTTGTAAAAACACCCAGACGGCTCTGTCGGATGAACACCGCGTGTTCGAAATTTGTAAAAAATGAATTCGTGGGCAAGCTTAATCGCACTCGTAGGTTTAGCAGAATTCGGCCGCAACAGCCAAATACCACAAGTGTGGGACAACTTAAATCGTTAAATAAATTCAAACGGAAACACTAGTTTCCACATAAGTACTTGTGAGTTCCGTCGATCAACCGGAGACACCGGCTTACAAGCAAAATCAAATTTGATTGTTTGAGCTAATTTAGTTTGCAAGGTAATTAGCCATTTCTTTTTGGTTGTTATTAAAGTATCATTAGTGGAATTCTTTTCCTGTGTGGCTTTTCGTTTAGCTTTCACAGTCTTTTATACAGGTGTGCAGAAGCCCACAATGTTATGATAAGAGAAGTCCTTCAAATTGAATATTTCCGAATAGTTTTTTTTGCAAAGACTGTCGGCAGATTGTGTTTGCATATTTCCGGTTCATGTACAGTTTCTTCCAGAGGGAAACACAGCTTCAGTTCACTCAAACAATGCCAACAATGAAATATCAGACAAGGCGTGGGTAATTCAAAAGTTTTTGCACCAACGAGGAGGCTTGGCCCCCTAGATTTGAACATCCAAATCTGGTGGCCGAAAGTGATATGGACGAAGTGCTAACCGGCACGCGTTTGGATCACGTGGACACCCAGGTTAGGGCAAACCAAGCCTTTTCGTTCATGCGAGGTTAAAGCAGTGACGAAACGCCTACTCGACATCACACTCCGCTAATTTTTTCTTCTGTTTGAACAAAGAAAGCAGGATTTTTTTGACAAATCTGACTATTGCACAACGAAATCCAAACCGCAAAATAAGCGTGTATGATAAATTTGATCGGAATTTGTGGTGAGGCTTGACTGTTTTAACCTACGGTTCGGAACCCACAAAATCCAGGTTTAGCTGAATAACTCTACTAACTATTAATTTAGAACTAAAGCAAAAGCTTTTTTTCGAAATATACTTTTATTTTTATGAAATGCGTCAAGGTAGAAAAAGGGGAAATTTATTTTATACGTGGTTAGCAGGCGAGAGCTTTCCTACAGCGCATTTCTGCAAGACTGGGCTACGTTTTCTATGGTATCTTTAGTAGAAACTAATACTTATTCCTACTAACTACCTCCTCTACGTAGATGTTATTCTGACGCCTTCTTAATGTACGGCAGACGGTTGAGGTTTTCGAGCGGCCTCCTCTTCTCGGCCGATCGAATCGCCTCGGGCTTTTTGTCAGTCAACGCCGAGTCAATCCGAGGCAGGACAAACTTGTCTTTCACCAACGGCTGACGTGCTGGAAGCATGTAAGGCCACTGTCCCTCGCTAAACGTAAAGTCTTCTTGATGGATTAGCTTCCGTGTTACAGATATTGGGGGAAATTTGCAGTCTTTAGCCGTTCGCTCCTCGGCAGCTTTCGATTTTCCTTGTAATGGTGCAATTTTGATGATGCAGACTTAGATTCGCGTTGAATTTCGCTAGAAGTCTTCGAGGGGTATTTGTTGGGCGCGGAACATCAAATATCCGTGTTCAACCTTCTTCTATTCGTTGGGCGGAATTCAGGAGGTCAAATTAGAGTCTACGCACGCTTATGCCAGCATTTTAAACATGCGCTAATCAATTGCAGGGCTGTTGTTTAGCGACGGCGCCAATGCATTGTGTGACTGCAAAAGGTCGTGCCCGTTTTCTGTAGATACAGACCCACATATTTTCCTTTTGCAATACTTTTATTAACTGACAGTCATTTAAATACGTCAGTAGTCAGAGTTTCCTTTAATTAAAGCTTACTTTACTGCTATTTGCCATGTTGCTGTTATGGTTTAAAAAGGAGTGAGTGTTGAAGCGGAAACAAAAAAACTCAAAACGTCAAACTTGGATCCATCTACTCCCTCTTTGGGGTAAATTCAATCGGCACGATAAATCTTGTTCTGGGCCACCTTTCGGCGTTGTTGATAACACTGGCGTGATTTAGTGATTACAAGTGATAATCCATAGAGTGTTAGTAACTTGGATTCAACTACCAAACCAATTCGGACACACTTCAGACGATTTGAACCATGTTCCCACAGCTACTTCGCTTCTCGCTTCTTGACAAAATAGACATAAAAGTGAAGAAGAAGCCTCCATGTTCTTTGTTGGTTCGAACACACTATTTTTCATGAAATTTTACTAGTTTTTTTAGTTGATTTTAATTTGGGCACGAACTTGTGCAACCGCCCAAAATGTACTTCAAAAATTAGATAACTTATTAAGTTACCATACACTTAGTTCAAAATTGTTGTCATTTAAAAAAAAACATTAGTTATGACGAGTCTATCTGCCTAATACGTCAGACTTCTAATTGTCTGATCAAGTTCAGCACTAATTTTTAGTACTTATTTTTAGTAAGTAAGAAGTCATGTATTCAAGAACGTCAAATGTGCGTGGAGAAATTGCCTGCCGCCTATCAGTTGCCAAAGTCTTATTTATAGGTTTAGAGTGCTGAGTACACCTGAAAGCTTATTTCCTCAGGTCTAAGAGAGTGGGAGTTGCACAAAATAAAAAATGGCAGGCTTAGAACTCTTTGCCTTGATTGGTTATAAAGTCAAAATATTGAGATAATGCTAGACTGATAGCAGAAGTTGAAGTCCTTAAAAAAACCGCTAAATATGGACATAAGTTTATATCAGCATGACCAAAACTGACAACTCCTACAATTAAAGGCATTCGTAGACTAAAAAGGTCATTTTAAGCACTTAACAGCCAATGAGATATAAAGCATAATTAGTTAAGCTTCATTATCTTAAAAGGTTTCAGAGTAATTAAAGACTAATCCTGAACTCAGAAGCAGGAAGTAGGGGTGGTGCCTTGTTTTTTCATCCTTCACGGTAAATTTAAGTAAGTTTGCTGATCTGTTTCCTCAGTTAATCATGGTGAATCTCGAAGTGTTTGTTTGCTTCTGCAATTCATTTCAAATTAGAATATTTAAAATAAATAGTGCGTTTTTGTGATCGGTAATCAAAAGAATCCCAAACTTTAGTCACTAGTCATTCAGGTATTTGAATATAAATCAAAGCGAGAAGCTTAGCACATTGAATCTGCCTTACTTCCTAAATAAAATTTTTGTTTCTGGCAACAATGAGACAGCAAAGCACTTTTACCAAATGTACAGGTCAAGATAGAGTTGATGTAATGTAATAATGTAGTAATAATGTAGTTAAAAATCACTGTACAAACCAAAGTTATCCGTAACATGCTAGCATTTTTTAAAAATGTTCTTTTCAAGAATATTTTAGGAAGCCTAATAAGCAAACTATCAATGAATCCATTTTAAATCAAGTTTAACGCAACACCGATTGAAAATACCCTTCCCCGGAAAATAGTGCCGTAGTAACTTAAATCAGGCCTTCTACAATAAAACTTCAATTACTTGGAATGGGAGTTTTCTACTAAATTCAGTTTATTTTGAATAATTTGTCTAGTTTTTTTTTCGAAATTCATTTTTGAATAAAATATAACGTTGAAACAGCTTAAGCTTCAAGTTAGGAAAGTATAGAAGTCAATTTTAGTCCGTAGAATCCCCACTATGTCTCATACACCTACACATGCCATTTTGCTAATTTTATCCCAACTATTGAACTGTGGTTTTTTTCTCCGTCAGCCATAAATTTATGGCCACATATTATAATGACCCCATTTCGATATAGTTGCATTTGATTTTTGAATTCTTTAATACAATATTAACCGATATTAGAGGTAATTATCCTTAATAACAATATATCAAAGTCTCAGAAGTGGTTTGAACGAGTCGCTATAAAATACAGACATTGAAAAATGGAAAATACTAAATTAAATTCACAGCTAATAAAGCAGTACACCTAACTAAAACTACGCGATTTCAAAGAAGAAGTGTCCTTTGTAATGCTTGAATTTCATTATCCATTTTTCCTTTAATTTTGACTTTCTCTAAAAGTTTAAATCCAGAATTTATATTTAAAGTTGGGTTTAACCTAAAGAAAAGCAGATATTTAAAAAAAGAATTGAGGATTAACTTGATTGATGGTAGTAGGATTTTATTCTGAATAAATAATTCCTAGAAATTATTGCGTCAAATCCTTTGTCGGGGAAAGACCTTCAGGAATCAACCATTTCTTATAATTTGTCATTCTTTTGAAAATTAAGGGTTAAGGAAATCCTGCAATAAATATAATTGGTTCATTAGAATTAAACGAAATATCGTGAATCTCAATTGGAGTGCAATTGGAATTAGAAAACCTTGGGCTACGATTTGCGGAGTTGATTGCTTCATTGTGCACTAAGTTATTTGTGGAGCATATTCTTACAGTTAGTATTCACCATCATGGTTTATTTTGTTGAAATAAATTAACGTATATAGTGCCGAATCTGACCAATGATTTGGTTGTTCTTAGCCTAAAACTCCTAGACATCATCTTGCAACTTAACATAAAAAACCTCTGAAGCTGCCAGCTCTTATATTATCATGTAAAAGCTTATGCAAAAACGTTGCATGCAGCTGTGTTTTACGAAGGGCGGTATGCATCAAATTTCTCATTTAAGAAAATTCTAATTTAATCGTGTCAGTGTGCATCCATCTTAAGCCGACTCAAAGTACATAGTAAATTGTGTTGTAAAATAAAAAAAATATTCCTTTATAAGTGTTGAGGCAATAGTAGTTAATTAAATTACATCTTGAAGATAATTGGTTTTCTAAATAGTACATTGGTTAAGGTTGTACCTCCATTAGCCTGCCAAAATACACATCCGCTGCAATGGCAATGCCGGCGTATTCACTAGGTATGAAAATGTCTTCTACCTCCTTTTCACAGTTTATTCTTTTACAATTAGCGTCATCTTTGTGGTGGTAGGCATTTATACGTACGCTTTACAAAACCCTGGACTAATACGTTGTTTTATTCTCGCCGCCTCTCGCTGTCGCGCCCAGGCCAGGTTGTGCCTAGTTTGAGTCGTAGTAGAATCTAAAAAAATCCTTACCGATTCTGGCCCCATCAAGGGACCGTAAGTACTCTAAGAATAGCATATCGTGTTCATTAAATTCTTTCCTGTTTGCACTTTTCTAGGTGGGTTTCTATACATATTTCTTCCGTCGAATTCATTTGCGTAACATGTTATTAAAGTGATATATGGTGTCTCTATCATATTTTATCAAAGGTAAAGTAATAACTTTGTCTATTGAATACCAACTTTAATTTGTGAAACATTGTTTTTTTTTATTTTTCTGTGCTTGTGGCATTATTTCCCGACACTTATTCTTGTTTGTGTGCAGATAGTCAAGAGAAAGATGGACTTTATCCCAATCTTCCATCCGCTCCGCCTGATAACCCTCCCCCCTACTCTGCCGCCCCTAGTAAAGAAGAGGTGGAGGAGGAACTCCGTAAAGTGCGTGATTTTTGTGCCATACCTTATCTTGCATCCAACGAGTCAAATAAAAATAGGGGGTCTTCCTCTGTTGTCTGAGATTGGGGCAATTTACGCTAGATTACACAACGTGGCAGCTTCGCAGCTTGACCTTCTTCCCTTTTCGCTCCATTAAATGTCAATGTTTCACGAGCACACTAAGCCCTGCTGCAGCTAGAATGATTATTTCATTGACCACCATTCAAGTGTACGTACCGAAACAAACCACCAAACCATTTAGTTAGGTGATATTGAACTTGTTTTTTTTAAGCAAGTGATCATACCTCAGCCTAGAAGGTACCAAATTGAGCAGATTATGAATTTTTATCATCTGGGCCAAATCTGCACTCTATATTGTCATTTAATGGTTAAAAAGTATAGAGAAAAAATAATTTCATTAAGTTCGCTTGTTTATTTTTCAACTTTCTTATTGATTTTTTCCTGGGATTACATATTTTATGTCATGTTAGTCTTAAGGACCTCAATGACTACTTTTTTCTCTATTTCTTGTTACTCTAAAACGAAAATATCAATTTAACTTGCCTTTTTAACCCTCATATACGGAGCATGCCTTTCTTGATGTTAGATTTCACTTCCGCCGGAGAGAAAAATCTTTGTCACACAATTCCTCTATGGTGTAATGCCATGTCCATCATCTCCGCACACACGACTTTTTATTATCACATCTTTATGTTTTGTAACCTAAAACCGGAGCTAGAGTTCCATTCATAAAAATTGCTTATCGGGAACCACAGAAAACGAAGCTCGTTTTTTGGCGTTGGATTCAGTTGAAAATTCCAATGCGGGGCATTTTCAATTTTTCTCGCTAACCCCTAGCACTTGGTTGCCATCAGAGCATTTATTGTTATAAAGTTTGTTATTTAGTAAACTTCGGTACTAGACGTTGAGATTTTAAAGACTATTTAATTTTAATCCTCGCCTATGCTGCACGAGCCAGCGTTTATGTTTCAGTTAACACCGTCGCAAAGCACTAAAACATGCAACACTGCCGCCGATTAAACGTGACCCTCAGTTCAACCAGCTGCACTGACTTCCGATCAATTAAGTCGCTGGCAGGGCATTGTAGTGGGCTGCTAGCATGCTGCTGCGTGTGTTTCCAAATGCAGCTTTAATTACCGCGCAAATCACGTTGGCTGCAATACAACATATCCTGAGCCTTGCCTGGGATGTTAGGCAACAGTAAATGGGAATTTTACCGAGTTAATTCCATTCAGTTTGCAAGTGAGGCTGGGCTTTTGTGTTCTACTACAAGAAGTCTATAGGTTAAAATAACCAATTTTGTCGTTTTAAGTCGTTATTTGTGTACAGTCAACGTGGTTTTGATTCGCAGTTTCTCCATTTTTTTGTAAAAGTGACGCCTTAGTAGTAGGACATAATTTAGTGCCAATTGTAGAGACGATGAAAATTTGACCTCAAATTACCTGTAGTTTCTGCAGCAATTTCGTAGGGGACTTGGCGCTGTTAACGCTGTATGGTGGAATTCCAGAGGCATGTACGAAATGGCCATGTTTCACTTCGTAATGCCTGTGGTTCATAGAGTAACCAACTTAGGAAAAAAAATTATGCCCAGTTTCCTCTACCTAAATATGTACAGCCCTAATGGCCCATCGTGGTTATGCAGTCGTATTATTTACCAGTTTAATTTAAACTCAAATAGTCTACTTGGCACACATTGTCTCTTAGTTACCGTAATTGCGTGGTTGTGTGGGTAGCTGATAGTCTATTCGTGGACTTGATTCCTCGCGCACATTTCCTGGTCTTAATTATAGCGTTGATTACTTATATGGCGTGGACTTTGTGAAGCTAAACAGCTGTGGATAAAGTGCTTTTTTTCTAGATTGAGGATGAAATCGCCACCCTTCGCGTCGTACTCGCCTCCAAACTAGAGAGGTCAGCTGCTCTGAAGCGCCAGCTTGGAATCTACGGCATTGACGTCGCGAAAGACGACATGAAACGTGTCGCAAATACAATTACACAGTCAAAGCCGTGAGTACCGTTAGAGTAGAGATCATGGCATAGGCTGGTATTGAAGGAAGACGGTTCTGCCTAATTACCAAAATGTCAAAACCTTGATGTAATTTCACTAACTTATGGTTAGGAAAAATTTTGTATAATTCAGGACAGCCGCCGCGTCGATTCACAAATTGCAGGCAATCCCATTTCAAATAAATTTTATCAGGCAGTTTTCGTGTTTCGGCCCCACAGATCGTTTTTTTTTAAATGAGTAAGATAAATTGAAATGTTCCGGTAGAGGCCCCAATGTGGTTCTCAAAGTACACACGAAATCAAGGGGTTTAGCGAAAGGTCCTCATTTGCGCGTGGACTCAAGGCATTTGTTAAGCAAATTCGTATCTTTCCACTTGATCCCACTAAATGTGGCATTGTTGTGGCTACGTTTGAGAAGGAAAAATTTCACGCCACCTCAAAATGGCCTCACGGTAATTATCCTAAGTGCAAATCAAATTTATTTCCGTAAAAAATGCAGCTCAATTTGAGGCAGCTGGTCTGAATTCTAATAAGGCTTTTTGACATTAAAATTTGCAGAAGCCATCTCCCTACGATTTCATCATGTGATCTGCAATGCTAGACCTAACGTGGATGTTGGTAGTTTTCTTACTTGTCTTGTTTGGTACCCAACTCTTGCCAAAATTCCTCACTTCCTGAACCGGTTGCATCGTGTCGAGTTCACAACTTTAACGAGCCGAGATTTTTATCCTAATTTAGTTAGTTCGAGAAGAACGGGGACGCCTGCCATACCGCACAACATCGAAACCATCTGTCTCCCGCTCATTTGTATCACTTAAAACTTATTTCACGTTCTTCAAAAATTTGCCAAACTCTTGCTTTGCCAGGTATACCACTGTGAAAGGTGCCGTAACCAAACAGTGGAACAATGTCACGTGAGTCTATGTTTTCTAATGGTTACTGTGGTGTGCATCGCTTTGTTCTGTGTACTTTTATCTAGACATGCTGAAATAGGCGTAAAATTGCACAGCGTCTGTATTCATCACATAGGCCTATATTGCAAGCCCGTTATGTTTATTTCCATAAAATCCTTAAAATACTAACGCCCTACTAATGACGTGTGACGTGGGTGCATGCAAACAACCTTTTCCGTGGTTTCACGAGAGCTCAAAGCGCTGGTTTACGCCCAAGTAACTTACTCATCATTGTTTCCTTTTTATGCGAGCAGTCAAACCCAGGCCTACAAATCGGTAAACAACGGTGTCAATTCTCTCTTCAAATCTATCAAAGTAAGTCATCCTATTTTCATGTTTACATGGGCCGCGTTTTGCGGACATTCGGTGTAGAGCAATTAGTCTTCCCAAACCACGAAAAATATCAATTGCATGTGAGTAAACGTTTGTGTTTACGCGCTTTCATAGATTCGTTTTGAACCTTTCGTATTACGGCATATAACTGTCATTTCCCCGGTTCTTAACGCGTGTACGCTGTCAAGAAAAACAGTAGCGGTCGTTTCGGTATGTTTACTGGTCATTGCTTGGAGGAAGCAGCCCATGAAAACCAGGATTTTTTACATGATAATAATGCCTACGACAGGCGCCTCCGAGTCCTTACAACATGCATTTAAATATCCTATAATATAACCCAAACCTTACCTTTCTAGAGCCTTCCGCCAGGCGTATGTCCAGATGTTCCTTTTTTATTTATGTCACTTTGGTTGTCGTTTAGTGTAATCGTTGTAATCGTACGCATTCTTCCACGTAACCAAGAGAATGCTTTAGAGAAACATGCCAGTTTCCCTGTATTATTGGTTCATACCAGATTTTTGTGTTCTAGTCATCTTTCTCCGGAAACGGCCAAGAACCAGCCACACGAAGTGCACAACCCGCTACATCAACTTCTTACGGCCAACCGACACCGAGTCGGCAGCCTACTTTGTAAGGTCCCAAGGAATTAATTTCAGTCCTCTTGTGATACCGCCGGTCGTGGCGTTTTTTTTTCACTTGGAACGATTGATTTTAAGTACTGAGTAAAAAGCAATTTTTGCTCCGACTCGTGTTGTGTTTGAATCGGGGGCACTAAGGGGTGGGTGCTGCTACTGGCTGGGCGTAAGTGGTGTCGCTCACTTCTATGTGTGGGAGGCAGGTTGATTGAATAATGCGTGTGAATGCGGCAGTTACGAAAGCCGGGCTTGTGATTAAAGAACCACTCCCTGTTATTCTGTCGCACAAGCTCAGGATTTAGTGGGTCGGGTACACATGTTTTGCTTGACAAAATTTCAGTGTACCGAATTAAAGACGTCAGGTGAAAGATGCTCCTAATCAATTATTTAACTTAACCATCTTTTTTCTTGGAGCCACAAAGTAGACACACGGGATGTGCATTCGCCTGTCAAGTGCCAGGAGTCATTGCCTATTTTTCCATTCTAAGTTTGTGATGATTTGCAAAAATATACAATTAAGTGATCTTATACTTCATTCTAAGTCATTATTAACCTCATAAAAAAGTTGAATTACTTTGTAACCTTTAAAGTGTTTGAATTCGCAAAAACTGTTTATTTGCCCTAGGCGTTGTTCTAAATTGTTCCTTCAGATAATGCCCACTGGTCAGTTTTTCGTGGTTCTTCTTATACTGTCTAAAGTGCTCTGCCGTAAGTGTTTTTATAAAAAAGACTAGGATGTAGAACACGAATTGGTTATTACGCCTGAAGTTACTATTTATGACGAAAAGCCCTCTTTAGACACCGGAAGAATTATGGTGTTTCCTAATAAGACTGTTGTTGTGGAAGCTCTTCAAGGTGAAAGCGTTATTTTTATTTGTAACATTTTCAACATGATTCCTAATGCTCGAGTAATATGTCACCATACGCTTTGATTAAAATTTTGGCCTAGGTTATATGGCGTAGAGTAAGCTTCGACGGAACAGTCACTGAAACTGTAAATGATGGATTGATGTCCCGAGATATGTCGAGGTGGAAAATAGGCCAGGGCAAGCAAACAAATTCGGTTCGGTAAGCTCGTCTAGTTTCGGATCTCTATTGTGAATATTTTATGAATTGTTTCCGATTGGGTTTGTTCGCAATTTTAAATAAGCAGCTATGAGCTTTACAGAAATAGCACATAATTACAATCGAGAGCCCTTAAATGTTTTTCTTGTTCTTCTTAGCCTTGAAATCCTCGTGGTTGACGAAACGTATGCAGGCTATTATACTTGTGATTGCCAGTATACTGGCTCAGTTGAACCAGCTAGAGCTGAACGTATCTTGCGCGTTGTAGGTAAGCCATCAGCAGAGATTTGCGAATGACCTCTGGTCTTAGACTTGATTAAATGTTATATCAGTTCCTCCTCACTTTCACTGCGAACCCCTTGAAACCTGATCCATGATGGTAATTTTTTTCCTCAAATATTATATTCGCAATCATGCAATGTATACAAAATATTAAATTTATCATATATTTGTTATACGATTGTCTAGTCTTTGTACCACACATCATGTCCTGGTGACAGTTAAAAATTAGTAAATCCTTCAACCTAATATCAATAAATTCCCTAAAAAATGTATTATTCACATTTCACTTATTGACACTGTTGTTTTACATTTGAATCTAATCTTATTTCTGATTAAAAATGATCTTGATAAATGCTTTTTTTATTAATCACGATGCTTAAGTCTAATTAAGCATATATATTTTGCAATCACAGTTTATGTAAATTCTATTTAAATGGCCACAATTTGTTCTTTAAATGTAGTTGTAATATCGAAAATCTTTTTTTGAATTTCTTGAAAGCCCAAGCAAAGGTCCTACCATTTAAGTCCTCATACACCACTACTGTCACAGAAGGCGACCGAATGACGCTTTACTGTGAAGCATTTGGAATACCTCAGCCAGTTGTCTACTGGAGCAGAACAGGTGGATCAAGCAGTCTAATCCGTGATTATGGCATCAGCAAACCGGTCAGTCGTCCAGCCTCTAGCTAACTAATGTTTTACGTTAATATTGTTAAAATTTCTGGCTGCATTGACATTCTGCCATTGAAAGTTTTGATATTGCATGAGAGCAAGCTAAATTGCATTCGACGTGTGGTATAAACACAAGTCACAATATATAAAAGTTTATTTGACTGTGGATTGGTGATTAAATTATCTACTGCATCTGCAAATTTTCAAAGCTTAATTTCCTTTACCTTCAAACTTTTTTACATAATATTTGGACCAGGCGCACCTTATCACTGTTGAAAATCGTATAGTGCTTAGAGAGCGACCTCTTTTCCTCTCGTTTAAGGCAAATTATTTACGCGTTTTAATTGGTGGTGAACAAAGATTTATTGCTCAAGTTTGTGCAAAGTGGTGGTGAGGTGTAACATGAACTAACACAAATTTAATCACTTTTATCATCCTATAGTTAAGAAGCATAAACTCACTGTGAACACCGGGAGTAGTACCTGTGGTGCTAGATTCAAAAGTTTTTTGTTTGTTAATAGGGAGAAGTTATTGAGTTCAGTTCAGTATTACCTGAAGACGCTGGAGAATACATGTGCATAGTGGAGAATCGACTAGGCATCGACTACTGGCCGGTTAAGGTCTCAGTTCGACGTAAGCCATATTGCTTTTCTAACCGCCAATGTGGTTTTTTGGCTAAAATAACCAGTCTAAATTAACAGACAAACCCCAGTTAAAGATTTACGCAACCGTACCAATTCCACAGTTGCCATGCAACATTCACCTCTACTGTGAGGTCTCCGCATCCCCTGCACCGGAGGAAAGCGAAATTTTCTGGAACGTAGGAACTCCTTCCAGAAGGATCACATCGACTAGCAGGTAGGAAATTGCGTTAGCTTTAATATTTGTTTCACAACTGTAGTAATGTTTTTTTTAAAAATACTCATGTCAAGTCAAATTAAACATCATAATATGGACTGTGTTTAGTGCTTAATTTTGGTTGTCTGTGGACTCGTCAGATAGTGGTACATCAAATTATTGGCAATGGTGAACAGTTGGATTATGTTAATGTACCATAATACCAGAAACCTATCTTCTTCAAACTACCATAACAATCTTTCACGGATAATAGGTGTGCGTGTGTGTGTGTGTGTATGTAGTGAGTACTTCTTTGCATTAAGATAGAACAAAATGGCTGTTTAACAAACTTGGTTTTATTACTTGGAAACATTACTAGAATGAATTTGGTCTATCTGAACGGGGGGAACACGCGCTTTCTTGCCGTAGCCTTCAACCCAATTATTTCCTCCGACTTGAACCAGAAGTACACATGTACGGCCTCCAACAGCCTTGGAACAGTGAACCAGGAATTCGTTCTAAATGGTGCGTCTCTTGAGTTTCTAGGAATTTTTTTTTAATTTCAAGCATGGTAAACGTAATGCTATAGATGGTTGTGATTTTGTGTCAATTGCGGTGACATCGTCATCGTATAATGCAGCGTCTCCTACAGTCTGGTTAAGTTCTACTGAATAAAAAATGCCGTACTCAAAATATGGGTAAATGTGTAAATAAACCTTTTAGTCAATCATTTATACCACCGTAACCTACCCTTTCCACTTGCCTCCAACGTGTGTTCTCTCCTTCCTTGACCTGGCAGTGTGGAATCACGGCTTCGTACAAATAATTTTTGGCTACTTCTTTCTATACGTACTTTATATTTACCTCAAGTAATTCTTCAACCTTTTATTCTAAATGCATCGACATCTTATTTCAAAATAGGTGAATTTAGAGGATGTGGGATCACATCTCTTCATTTATTTATCACGTGCTCCAGGCACATTAGCAAAAAGACTATATAGCACGCAGATTACCACGTCGATCTTCATGAAATCGTGGATGAATATTTAAGGGCCAGTTTTTAATAAATCAAACTCAGCGAAAGGCCTCCGTATAAGTAAAAATCTCTCCTCAACTTGTGAATCAATATTGCATTAATGACTGCAGCTGGCCTGCTGATTAATAAATGGTAAAGCTATGTTGTGGAACAGGATTAATTGGGCAGCAGTTGCTTTGCTTAAAATGATTTGAACAGAGCTATGTGTGGTTTTTCTCACACAAGACCGAAATCCATTACACAGAAAAGGTAAATTGTTTGTGTTATTCTTCCGTATTTTCTAACAGCTTCCCGTTGTATTTCGTTTAGATTTTAGCATAGAAACAATAACTTATTTAAGGTTTTGGACCGTGAAAGTGTCGTTAGTTCTCTAGTATCTTGAATACATAAAAGGTGAACTTTCTATTCACAAAAATCAGAACTCTCATTCACAACATCCACATTAACTTTAAGAAATTAACCAAATACACGTATCGTTCAGGTTTAATTATAATTCTTTTATTTGTTTTAAGAATCCGCTTGGCTTATGCAGGGATCTTTCGCAGATTTGAAATGCACAGGAACAGACAAACGAGCAGGTCTATTAATTTTTTGTATGTTACTTATTTTCTTTTTCCTCATTTTATAAATGAAATTGAGACCAACGCTTTTAAATATTATTGGGATTGGCTTAACTGGGCAGCAATTAATGACAATACTGAAGTTGATATTGATGATGTGAAAAGTTAATACTGTCGTACCCTGTGAGGATCACGTAAGAATTAACAAAGTAACTGCGGGTATCGAAATGTCACCAGCATTTTGGAAATGCCACCTTAAATTTGGGGCACTTGATTTAGAAATTTAATTAATAACGTGAGAGTAGCCGTGTTTAACTTGAAAAGAAACTATGTGCGACGCATTTTCGTTGAATTTTCAATTTAGTTATCAGTAGTTAACGAGGAATTCTAGCGTTTGCATCGTTTGGGGAATTGTGTAATTAGTAGCGTCCTTCTTCTAATAAACTGCGTTATTTCTCTGCAAATAAACTTAAAAAGTAATCTGCAAATTTCACTAGATCTAAAAAGTTAAAAAAATGCTGTAATTACAGAAATGTTTAGAATGACCTAAAATATTGCAGTTGCAAACAATTAAAGCTTAAAGGAATAAGGGTGTGAAAATTATTTTGGTTATTAGTGGATATTAAAGAAAACAAATATGATAAAAACTAACAGGCTAAAAGCAATACTCGGCATAAATTTTTGCTGCTGTAACTTACACTTTTAGTCGTTAAACAACACCTTAATTGTCGATTAATGTCTTAAACTCGTCGTTTCCGTTGCCTTTGCATTGATACTTGCCTTAATACCTGCATTTATTTACTTTGCAACTAAGCCTCAATGCGAAAAAAATGTAGCAAATCGGCCAGCGATGCCTGTCTATTGAAATATTTTTATGCTTATTTTACGTACTTGAAATAATAAACATAATAGATGGCCTTGGGAAATATTGAGAAATGGTCCGCAAATAAAAAGCTTATCGAATTTTGATTGGAAGGGCTAGTGTGGTTTATCTGACCGTTAAAAGTTTGCCCGTATTTATTTTCTGTTCGGTGCCCTGGTCACTGGTCTTTGCTAATTTATTGACAGTAAAAGTTTGTGTTCGTCATCGCATCTTTATTTTTTCGGTAAGGTTTATCTATGTATCCGTAGGACTTAGTGACATATTTATGGCGCAAGGATTTGTAGTCTAGGTCAAAACCATTCAACCGTTCATTTCCTCCGTTATTTTCTATAACAAACAATATCGTTCCTGTGTGTGCTGTCTTTTGTGTTTGATTTTTTTGCAAATATGCTTGTTGTTAGGCAATAATTTTTTTCAATATGACTCAGGCAGCTTTATTGCTAAAGCCATTTTCATACTCACTACACTGACGGGGTCGGTAGCACTTGCGCGTTTGCATTTTTTTAACAAAAATATCTAAACAGGAAGCTAACTTATACTGGTCTGTCAGAATAATTCGACGTATCTATTTTTTAAGGCATACATTTAATGGACCTTATTTAGTGATGGCTTTTTGCTTTAACACATTGTACTTACTCCTACGAATTTATGTTTCACGACAAATTTTCTTCATATCTGTTGTGGAAAATCTATTTGTCTTAAAATATGTTGGTATCATACGTTATGATTTATAAATTTTTCCTATGTTATGAAGCCCATCTGCCTGTCAGTGTTTGCGCTGCTAATGGCTAAGTATCCATTTCAACTAGTTATCCTTAATTTCTCCATTTCAGGTCGTGACAAATTACTTTAGCTATGGAATCTCAAGAGAAACCCTGTGGTCTTGAGTCGCTGAGTTCAACTTCGGGCCCAAGAGATTTTTCTACGTTTTACAACAGTGCGCAGTTGGCGAATCTCTCCTATGATAGTAACTGTGTACCATACTTTGTGAACATTCGACCTTCCAGGGTTTGCTCTACTCATTTTGTTTGTTCCTAACGTGTTTAGTCTGCAGCAGTCTGCCGTGTCTACTTTGCTAGTTTTCCGCCACCCTATGGGAATGTAAACCTTTTTTACGCCGACATCGACGTATCGGAGACTGCAGATCCCTCCCAGGCGCTAGCTTTTCACTACCTCATCCCAAGGCACACTTTCCTTGGGTTAACGCTGTAAGTGTCCAATGTATCTTGAAATGTTTCTAATTTGCTAATGTTAATCAGAAATTTGACCTGTTTGCTCCTTCTTGTGCTCCTAACTGCTCCAGTAAATTGAATCCTTCCTATAACTTGCCAACGTGCAGAATAATTAGGGAATTCAAGATTAGTTATTATAGGATATCCATCCGCTTAGTTAAACGGGACATATTTTGTAAATATATTCACGTCCGTTCCCGAACCACGTGTGACCAAAGTAGTTCCTTGTTATGAATCGTTGGTTTGAAGTCCCCTGCGGATGTATTGTTGCAATTCTGAGGGTATAATTAGTGCCACATGCACCAAAATAAACAATGAAAATTCTGGCGACATTTCTGCTCTCGACTCAATCAATCTCATATTCGTATGCTAATACTATTGCTACCCGACTTTTTTATTTATGTATTCCGTGTCGCATTTATAGCCATAGCAATCACCTCCACCTAGCATCCTATTTTCAGCTCGATGTTTTTTTGTTAATTTGCTCAGTTTTAATCGAAAAGACGCAGGTGTATTTTAAATTTTACCCTTTTTGGCTGCAAGATTCAGACAATGGCATTTCTGCCATAAAACACCTTCCAGTGCTTCGTTTTGCGGTGCAGGAGTAAAGCACAGCTTGTTGTTGTTGTCTTGAAGGAATTGCAAGGCCTCTCTGGCCGAAAGCCTGTTGCGCGAGCGCATGCGAGCGGGCTGCTTCGGCGTCTCCGACATCAAGGCCGATCCCGTCTCCGGGGCCATTCTCGTGATGCTGTCCGGTAGATTGGTCCACTTCTTCGATCACAACTGGCCCCCTGCACTGGCTCCCTCTCCAACTAACAACGATGTAAGCCTTTTTCACATTTTGTTTTTTCAGTCCTCGAGTAAGTCCCACTAAACTAGCTGAACCATCCACTACAAGTTATCTGGGTGTCCAATTAAATCTCCCGAACTCGTGACTTTTGCCACCTTTTGTTAGTTGTTGTCTTGAAAATCTCCACCACCATAATTTGAGAGAGTGGTTATCCACCTTAATATCAGTATTTTTTACAAAATCACACTCTCAGACTCGTACTACCAAGAACTCGCTTGCATGTAGACTTTGTCTACTTAATGCTAGTTAGTAAAGCCTGAGGGTTGCCCAATTTTGTTGTCAATTCCAGGCTGAAACTGCGCAAACCCAACTCACCGTGTTGTCTACCGGGGAGTCGTGTATCCAACCGGCCATTTGTCCCGCCAACCCCAATCTGGTTGCATTTATCAACGGCCAAAACATCTGCGTCGCGAATGCCATTACCTCAGCTGTCGTCAATTTAACCAACGTCACCGATCCACTGGGTACGTTCTCCTACTAATTTCGTGTGCGAAGAAAACAACGCTCCGGAATTGACTTCTAGCATCTCAGTGCTGGCCCAATTTCTCACATTTTGATCGTTTTTTTTTACATTCTTTTGACGTCATGACTGGTCGGTCTTAGAAGCGAAACACAATCTCTGATTTAAGGGTTCTAAAGTACTCTTGATTCCTCTCTAGTCTTTGCTGGGTCTCCAGCCTACGTCATTCAGGAGGAGTTTGACCGCTACGTGGGCTTCTGGTGGCGTCCGTGTAGGCAATCCCAGGGGGACGGTAAGTTCGCGTTCTTCATGCTTTCATTGGATGTTTTACCAGCGACTACAAAGACCCTGTTATTGTAGACTGCTACACGCTTGTTTATGAGGAGACGGATGAAACCGGCGTTGAGGTAGTTTACCTTCCCAATCACGGAAGCTGGAGCCAGCAGATGGAGCCTCATGCCTATCCCAAGCCTGGTACCGTTAAGCCAATTTCTTCACCTGGCTACTTAAATTCACTTAGTACAGCGTTTTTTATTCATTGTAGGCAAACGAAATGCAACATCGACCTTGAAAATGATCAAATTTCAAGTGGATTCAGAAAATAAGGTATGGTCTGCAGCTTACTGACATGTTTCGCTCAAGGTTGACCAAGTGCAAGCACTGGAATTGCCGTGGCATTTGTTTAAAATGTTTCCCGAGCACGAATACCTTGTGAGAGCTGGCTGGACCGAAGACGGTCAGTAGTAAGTATCCTGTTTTTTTTCAATCTTGATCTATTTCTGTCGTCTAGTTTCTGGATCCAGTTATCTAATCGACTGCAGTCAAAAATGTCGCTCTTCTTGATACCTCCCGACTCCTTTATCGATCGGTCCGCCGGCCAAATCGCCTGGAAGCCGTTTGTGCGACTCCACGATGAGGAAGACGCCACGTATTGGGTTGAGGTGCTTAACACGTTGTTTTTTGTTCGCGTGGATATTTGCTTTATCGTATTTTCACGAATTTCATATGTGGTGCCTTTACGTTAATCACCAGCATTGCACTCTTGTAATGTTGCTACGCTGAGAGCTTTGTTAAGCTGTCGACCTCTTTGGCTTGTTGGCCGTGCACAAACTGCAATGGATAAGCGCCTATCCTGTTGACGCGCGAGAGTATGCTCCCTCTGTGCGTTGCTCTTGCTCTCACCGTTTCGCTAGCACACCCACACATAAAGACTAGCCAAAAGGGCCCAATCGTGTCGCGTAGTACGTACCCGCCTCTGTTTAGACCCACAACTGCCTCCACCTGCTCCCCTCGCCGACTCCCGACCAAGTCGCCTTCATTTGGCTGAGTCGACGCACTGGCTTCTCCCATCTCTACGAGCACGTGTGTTGTTTGCCGCCGCCAGCCCCCGTCCACGTCGACGTGTCCGCGGACGAGGCGGTGCCGACTGCCGATTGCGCCTTGGCCGCGGTGTCCACTCGCAGTCGCCAGCTAACCTTCGGCGATTGGGAGGTCCTGGGCGACCACGTAGGTTGCGACTCACTTGTTCCTTCGCCTTGCCACTGGACTACTAATCGGTTTCCGATGACTGATTTTTAACCGTTTTAGATTTTTGTTGACGAACGTAATAAGTTGGTGCTGTTCGAAGGCCTACGCGAACACCCTCTTTGGACAAATGTGTAAGTTGCTATGTAATTATTCTCAAAATGTGCACAATCTGCCACTTTTGACCTGATTGGCCGTTGCCACATTCATCACCACTAAGCCCGTTGTGATTGGTCGACTGTGGCAGTGCAAGTAGCACTAAACCGTGATTGGTGATTGTTTATAAACCGACTCAATTGAAAGCAACGACGAAATCCGATTTTCAATAACTGCAAAATTTGGAAACGCACACATGTTAAGGTTGATGACAATCAATAAATTTAAAGGAGAAAGCAAAGCAGACACATTTAAATGACATTTAGCCAGAACCAAAGTAGTAAAGCAACGGAACAGGCAAGAATCAATGGGTTTTTGCGACATTGACTCCACTGGACGTCTGTGGATGGTGTGGTAGGTCCAAATCGCGCCTGTCCATGTCATTACCAATGTGCACATTGCCAGCAGCTCTTGACGGACCAGACCCATATAAGTAGTGGCCGCCTGCGCAAGTCTTTCATTAGTAAATGGAAAAAGAAGATGCCTCAAGATATAGTTTATTGGGCAGAATCGAAGACAGCCGGGCCTGTCTTGGTCTCGACTCGGGAGTGACTTCCATCTGTGTGTGTGTGTGTGTGTGTCGTGACTATGTCTATTGGCGTCGCTCAGGTTATGTCTGAGACCGGCGATAGTCCACCTTCGTGCTCCAAATGTCGCAGTTAAACACCCACCAAGGAGGAAGATTGGCGTTTTCACTTGGGTCTCAAGAGATGTCGGGAAACCGTAGCGACGTGCGTTATTGTGTCCGCGGATTGACCACGAGGCCTGTGGAGGAATTGAAGTGTGCTTTTTTCAGGTTGTATTGATCGGCGCACAATCAAACCAAAGCTTTCTAGAAATTAGGCTCAGCTAGAAGCATCTCACGCTACCACTGAGTTAAGGTTCACTGCCGTAGTCACTGATTGTAGCTTTCACCAACGTTTACTCCGAGACACGGGCTATCTTCGAAGCAGTGACCTGTCGTTGGTCAGGACGGTGGTGAATTCGTGACGCCTTGGTCTTGAAGGTAGCCTGTAGGTCTCTTGAGGCGTCAGGTGAGCCGACTGTCCTTGGCTACGGATCCTTCAGATTTCGTTATCCCTGGGTGTGCGTTCGTGCCGGAAGGTTGCTCGCGGTTCTGCGCCACTGACACCGATGCTGTTTGTTTGCACAGAATCCGATAAAAACACCAAGCCCTACGGTCCTGCGATCTCCTTGGAAGATGAGGGCTGTTGTGCCTCATGCCAGACAGGATTTAGGAAGCACAAGAAGTTTGGATCCGTCGTGACCCCCATGTTAAACCAAACTTGTGTTATGCCACGCATTGCTTAGTTGTTAGCGCCAGTCGCCGGTGTGTGTGTGGCTACTACCGCAAAGTGCATCCCTTCTCCTCAACTCGCTCTGTCTCTCCTAGCTACGCAGTCAGTTATGCAGTGGACGCGCCCGAGGTGTATCGCTTATCCATGGATGATGATCTCGTCGACGGCCGCCTCTCGCATTCCATCGTCACCTTCGACCCAGAATCGGGTCTGTGCGTTCTGGAGTCCTCGAACCCGGTCCTCCTCGTGGGACACACCCTCTTCCGTCTCGCTGCGGGAAAGAACCAACCGGCTTCTCTCAAACTGTTGGCTTTCTTGAAGAAGCATGGTAAGATATGCCCTTTTACATGTCGATGCTTCAGTTCAGTGTCCTTGAAAAACGCATTTCCGGCGTATTCAGCTCGGGTCGTGCGCGTATAGGTGTGCGTTGAGGTGTTTCAGTGTGGACGTGAGCCTGTGTGTGGGAGGATTAATTATGCGTGGGGTGAGTAACATGTTCTCTTTGTCCTCTAGCCCCGGTGACGTCCATTCTTCCAACCATCCTCACAGAGCCATCGCCTCCGTCGTTCCTCTCATTCACATTCCTGGATCCGCACGATGCCGAGTCTAGCCCCGCTCAGCCTCTCACGTTCTACGGGATGCTCTTCACTCCTCCAATCGCGACTCGACCTTCCAACGGCTTCCCCACCATCCACCTCGTCTACGGAGGACCCGGGGTGCAGTTCGTGCGGGGAGCGTGCTTTCGTAATCTGTAAGCGGGGCAGACGGATTGACCTGCTGTGCTTTGAAACCATGCTCTCCTTCTGCTCTTACACGTGATTTTTCCTCATCTCCGAGAGTGTCGAATCTACCGCAGCAAACTTCCACATCAAAACCCCCTTAGATCAAGAAAAACTAGTTTAACTCCTCTATTACTGTCGGTATCTATTACGTTCAAACCAGTCTTTCAGGGGCGTTCCACCAAAATGCCCAGTTTTTACCCCCTAGTCGATTGACAAGCACTGTGTGCTCTTTTGGTGGGACATAAATTGCTCACGTTTTTTTCTTCGTTTCTCTTGGAGGATTCTCCGCGCCCAAATCTACTGTCACTACGGCTACGCCCTGCTTCTGTGCGACTGCCGCGGCTCGGCCAATCGCGGGGCCAAGTTTGCCGGCCACCTCAAGTACAAAATGGTATCAAGCACTTGCAGCTATTAATGCTAACATCTCAAACACGCAATGATATTTATCTATCCAAATTAGTGCCGCATCGGTCTATTGAGGTTTGGGGCGGCACAACACTTGTGATCTTGCTACCTCTTGTCCCTTTATCCTCATGTCACATAGTGCCATGCCGAGCAAGCTGTAGGTGTGAGTTGATTTCTGGATTCTGGGATTGGAAATTTAGCTCCAAGTCATCTACACAAAAGTCCTATCTTTGGCTGAGCCTGTGGCTTTGAATCTGTGGTCAAAATTTACACAAAGTAGCCACTGTGTCCAGAAAAGGACTCCCTTATTTCCACCGCTTTCTTTTGGATCTGTTAAGGGAACAGTTGAGTTGTCCGACCACGTGATGTTTCTACGCCAGGCCGCCGCCAAAACAGGACTAATCGACCTCAATCGTGTTGCCGTATACGGCAGCTCGTACGGTATGTTCTCTCTATTTATTGTCCTTACTCCTTCCCATTCATTTGCCTAGCGAAAGCCCTTTCACTAAGTGTCTGGTGGTGGTCGTTGGACTAGTTAATCAATGCTTCTTGATGTGTTGCCTCGGCTTGTTCAAGCAGCGAGGTAATTGGTCGAAACCCGCACGCAATTGCCCAATTGGTAGACTCAACCACGTGTGTGCGGGCGTGTGTGTGCGTGTGCTTACCCTCGTTGTCCTTTGCAGGCGGCTACCTGTCCCTGATGGCGGCGGCCAAGCACAGGGACACGTACAGGGCAGCGATCGCCGCGTGCCCCGTTGTAAGCTGGGAGCAGTACGACACGGCCTACACCGAGCGCTACCTCGGTCTGCCCTCCCAACACCCGGATGCCTACACGTGAGTCTCCCCTCCCCCCACACACACTGATTCCTCTTCCTAAGCACACACACACACACATTGAACAGTGACCTTTGAAGACGCGCAGCGTTGTTCAGTTTTTATAAGCGACCTTATTCAACTAAAAGCACTCATTTCGAGAATCCGACTTGTTCAATATCTGCCCCCTGGTGAGTGACTCGGTCAGAATGTGCCAAAGTTGCTAATCCAGGGATCGCAATTACTTCTGGGTTGGTATTAAGTTAGTGCTTAAAGGGCGAATGTGCTGCAACGTGGCTGCCTTTCTTAATGAAAGCAGCTTGTAAAGGCAACCTAGACGGTGTATCATCGGTGATTAGTTCCCCGTAACGATTGTGTTGTGTTGAAAACATCAGTTTTTTGTTGTGGAAAACACGCTAACTTATGCGTACTTTTGGGTGTTGCGGAGCGAAGAATACAAAGATTTGAAGTTACTGCACAAGTCGCGCAAAATCTCCCAATCGTGGCATATTTGGGGACAGGGGGTGTAAAAATGAGGCGAAAGCAACTTGCGCCAGAGATCATCAATCCGCACACAATTGTGTCCTGACGCAAGTTCTTACGACGTCTGTAGTTGTGCATGCGTAATTGATGTTTCAAACCCGTTTGAGGTCGGTGGTTTAAATACGACAAACAAACTACTTCTATGACTCCATCTTTGCGTGTTTTTTGCTTAATTTTGCACGCCCGTTCCAGTAGTTTTTGTCACTGCCACAAACGCACGAAGACGCGATTGGAATGTCACCCCACGAGGAGCGACCACTTGTAAGGCTCTTCAAGCCTCTTAGTTAAATAAGTAGAAAATATCCACGTGGTTGCAAACGGTCCACAAGTAACCGGAAATTCGACTTTTTGGGAACAGAGACAGTCACAAGAACCGGTCCAAAGGTGTCCAACTGAGATGCTCTTGGTTATGCTATAACTCGCCGAATTTCCTGTCCTTTATTTGCTCCAAGTGTTGTCTCCGAGTCCCCGATTGGCTGGAGATTGTGGCAAAGTGCCAAGGAACCGTCAGATTCATTCTTGGTTGACGCTTTGCCGCCACACGACATGCGGATGTTAGCCTAGGGCTTTTGGCTTCTTCTTTTACGCAATCTGGTACACATGCGTTAACTCAGTGAACCGTTGTTACTTGACAGCCATGGTTGCTTAGTTTGCTCAATCACTTCCAATTTGACTTCTAATCGCCATGAGTATGTGTTGTGCCACTACTAGGGTATGGGCGCACACGCGACCACGGCACTATTCATTGTGGGGTCTTAGGGAAATCCAAATTGAGACTGAGTGCTTGCAGCCTCAGTTGCTAAAAATGCAGTTTGTATGGCTCGAACAATGGAATGATTCCGATGTGTCCTCAGCCATTGAAAATGCTCCGACATCTCCGCACGAGATTTGTCTGAGTCGAGGAATATCCACGGAGCACCCATGTTAGGTCTTTTTTTAAAAAAAATACGCATTTTTATTGCCCTTGTCAGATGTGGGGATGTGATGTCGTATGTCAACGAATTTCCCAATTTCTCGCCTTACTTGCTGATTGCTCATGGAGGCCTGGATGAAAACGTCCACTTCTCCCACACCGCTTCGCTCCTCCAGCGTCTCAACTACCTCGGAAAGCCCTATGAGTTATCTGTGCGTCTTGGCATCCTCTCGTTTTTTTTCCACTTCGCTTTCACACGTTACCGCTAACTCGCCCGTTTTGGTGTCGTTTAGTTTTACCCCGACTCGCGGCATCGAATTCGCGAGGACGACCACTTGATGGCCACCATCTTGACCTTCCTCGATCGAACCATCGGACCCGAACAAACAAACCAACCCGCACACACCTCCTGATGTCTTTCTGTGGTACCCGTCCTTCTCCATCTATGGGATACTTTTTTACTTCTATTTGGCCGGTCGACTTCCTGTATGCGTAATGCGGATTTCTTTATGCTTAACATAAAACAAAAGCATCACCTCACTGCCAGATTTTGACACTGTTGGGCTCACGGGCAAATGTTGGCTTTCATTTCATCACGTTTGCACAACCCATTTCCTCCGAACTCCATGGCTTCACCTTGTTTTGTGGTTTGAAACTGCGTTAATCATCTCTAAACGTCATCGCCATAATCGCAGACTACTTGGGACGCGCGTGTCGTACCGTGGAACACACACCAACCCAGGACTCCTGTTTGGTCGTGATACAAGAGCAGCTGTGTTTGAGTGAGTCACAACTGAGCAATGCACAACGTGTAGATCCAATCGATCATCAACGGATCATCATCAAGCATTTGGCCACCCGAGTGGTTATGTAACTCGGCCGGCCGGTTCGCACAGATGCGCACCGGAGTGTCCAATGGTGGCACCGTACGGTTTCGAAGCAGCTTCGTGCAGCCCCGTCTAAGACGATTACCAGTCCTTAGCCACATTTTGAGTGTTGTGAAGTGTTAGGGCGAGTAATGCACTTTTCGGGGAGCTAGTAAATTGGCAGGAAGTATCTTACTGGCTTCCTTTTTGCACATGAAAAATTGATTGAAAAACTACACCGGTGTGTGCATGTCAACAAAGTATATTTGAAAGTCTATTTACAAATTACGCAGCAAATTGCCAAATCTCACATCAAAATCCGTACTTTTGTCGACTTTGTGCCTGGTTCCTGCGAGCCTCAGCCCACTGCTCCTGCAACTCGTACTCCTGTTCTTGAGCCTACAGGGAGAGAAAAATAGGCTTTTTTCCAGCAATGCAAACAAACAATAGCAAATAGTGCGTGGTTCTTTGCACGACGAGAACAGCGCCTTGAAAACTACGCGAATTAGCCGTAAAATGAATGGTCTTTCCTGAATGTGCCGCAAGGACCGGCGCCTGCTGACAATTTGACTGAGCACAAGACATAGCGTGTCACAAATTCAGCACCTTTAGAAAACGGAAGCGAATTTGGATTATCCAGCACCTCACCTTGTACGCAAGCCATGTTATTTGGTGTTTTCTGAAGGCGAGTTTGCCAGGATTGTCGACGAGGTGTTGGGGCTTCGGTCGACCGGCACCTGTCGTCACGTTCTTAATGAGCTCCAGTTTGGCGCCGGCGGTGAGGTCCTCCTGGCGCACCTCCTTCACGGCTCCCGAGGCCAGCACTTCCGCCACGCTGGCGCCCCACCGTGCCCGTTTCCTCTGAAACCATGGTGACAAATTACTCCCAGCAGAACAGGCACTAGCTTCATTCCGCATCTTGTCAACCAGAGCTAGAATGCTTTCCTCAGAGCAGGTGATGCTAGTTTTGCAAATGAAGAAGCGTGTTGTACCCACCGAAATGCACTAAGCCACACATAACGAGATTTCGCCAAGGAGTTCAAGAAATGATGTTGGGACCTAAAATACCTTTTGCTGTAAAAAAGGCAGATTACGTCTAGTTAAATCAAGGCCGAAAGCAATTAGCAATGCCTGGTGCGCTTGGGTTTAAGCAACTATGTACCTCAGGACCGGGAATGAAGGTTTCTTCAGTGAAGACAGATTCGACATCTTCGTCGATTTCATCACCATATAAGCCGGGGGGTTTTGGAAGTTCCGAATCTTTGAAGGGTTTCACGACCTGCGGAGGGGGACACTCGTGTGTTGCCTCTTCAGGAGGCCCAGCTGACGCAGGAATCGGTTGGTGACGAGAAGATGCCTCCACAAGCGTCTTCTGCGTCTGACGCCTCACCGCTTCAACATCCGCCGCCGCCTTTTCAGCGTCCTCCTTTGCGTCGTAGAAGGAGAAGAACCCCCCGCTGACATCACCCTCGTCTTCCACATCCCACTGTTCATCGTCGACAATAGCTGGCTTTTCTACTGGCTTGTTCTTGACCAGTCGCTTTACCTGCTGAGGGATCATTGACGGCATGATGGGCTTGTCACCTTCACGGACAATGAGCGCTCTCGGAGGTGGCAGGACGTCGAGAAGGCCCTTGGCACCGCTGCCAGAACCAGGCTTTTGAACAGGTTTCTGAGATAATACAAACGTCCGAGTTACGTGGATTAAGTTACAAATTACTTGCTTTGATAAACGCTCTATTCAACCAAGTGGGTTTAAACGGTAAATAAGTTTCCACATCACGCATTACACTTACACCACCTTCCACATCTCAAAAGAATTGCAACTTATGACGTCAAGGGGTGCTCAATTCAACGTGTTTAAAGAATCTTATTAAAGTAACTCAAAACCTTCATACCGAAACGAACGTAAGTATACATCTAAATATTTCGACACAATTCTGTGTGTGATTCAAAGAAGAAACAGAAAAGTTATTTTGTGTTACCCATTTGAAGAAGTACCTTGGCATAACTAAAATAAACCGTCTACCGAACATTTATGCAGCAATAAAAAGTGAGACAAAACAAGGAGACGTGTTTTTTATTTGTTTTGTACCCATGACCACATCACCATTTTCCCATTTTCAGATATTGGAGATAAAAACGATCGTTACAAGTAAGAGCTGAAATATTTCATCATAAATTGTTTATTGCTATGTGGCAATCTGGTGACAACTTGTCTTAGAAATAAAATTTCGTTCAACAATAAATGACCCATTTAAGTACATAGTCAGTTAACAAGAATAATTTCCTGAAAGAGTGTCTTCATTAATATTGCGAAAGATCCAGCACAGAACTACGCAGAAAGAAATTGATTCCACTCTCTACACACTTAGTGCATTTGCAGTAAAATAAGGCTACTGTTCTTGACGAAAAAAATTGTAGAAAAAAGCAAATGGAGTTGATGAATTAGAATACAGAAAAGATTAATACCCTCACCAAATGATAAGCAATTGGTGCAGTAAATTTGAACATACCTTGGAAGCTTGAGGCTGATCTGAATCACTTTCATCGGAAGAATCCAGCTAAAAGATACAAATGGCGTGATTATGTTGATACAGAAAAAGAAAGCAGATATGAATGCCTAACTAGAGTAAATGCCACGAAGAAACAATGGGAATTTGTTAAACTTCGTCACTTCAACAAAACGCACTTATTATTCGTCAAGATAAAATGTCTTAGCAATGTTCTTGTATAAAAATTATGGATGAAGAGATAGGAATCTCGTTATTAAATAACCGCTTTCGAGTGGCCTTTTGTTACCGAAGGAAAGATTGTCTGACTTTTTTATTCATGGGTTTAGTGTGATTACAAAAAAAAATAACAAGCAGGAAATAATACCTACCTCTTCAGTGGTAGGAATAGTTAGTATCACCTTCCCATTTAATGCGGACTTTCGTGAAATATTCAGAGGTTCTAGCAATGGTTTTGCATTTTTTGGAATTCGCATCTTGTATTCTTCTTCAACTGTGTCACTAAAGTTTGATGAGGTCTTTGAATTATCTGCCGTTTTGGGGAAATTTGCTTCTCCAACAAGTTCATCTATAACGGAACAGTGTTTAATTTAAGAACCAAGGCATGAAAAAGACGGTTGAAATGACTAGTTATTTGCTTATTAAGTTAAAACATACCCTCAGAGTCCGATCCAGAAAAATCTGATTCAGCATAATTTACAAGAGCCATTAGAAATGATTACAACCAAAATGGACGTGTACAGGCAGGCCAATGAAAGTGGGCTAGAAGTCAAAACATGTGTAATGTTTTTCAGGTTAAGCAAACAAAAATAGGGCGTTTTTTAAAAAATACTCGGTTTTTAATATAATTACAGTTACTTACATTTTTACTTGACTTGTTATTTTTTAAGTTGTTTCAACCTCTTTAAAATCTGATTGTCTTTGCCAATCGAATAATCTGCTGCAAAATATGCGTTTCATACCTCTACTACATTTATCAATAATCATGTCTGTGTTTGTCATGACAATATACTCCAATCACATTACATGTAGACTATTAATCTTAATAACCCTTCTTTTCGCAAATTTTTAGAGCGACATTTTTTTTTTTTTTGCAACAGCCATATAATTTTTTCGCTACATGTAATCATTTCATTGTGCATATGCTTGCCCCAGCAACCATGACATGCCATAACATCATTAAGATCTTATGTTGTCCGCAGTCAAGGTAAAACACTACTGCACTAAATTTCCAGTCTTAATGCTGTTCAAAATAAATGAGGAGACCTGAACTTAGGTGCTCTGGCACGAGTAAGTTTTCAGCTGATGCAAAAATTGATGTTCTGTTTTTTCTTTTTAGTGTAGTAAAACTAATCGCCTTTTCTCCCACTTTCTTGCACAACTTTATGTTCATCATTTAATCTTAAAATTGGCAATTTGCTATAGAATCTGCTGTACATAGTCGTCTGGCAAGCAGTTAGACATATTTTATTATTGTGTATATGTCCGTATATGTGTCTTTAAAGTGCCTATTTTGGAGATAAGGACAGTAATGATAACATAAGGATATAAAATAAAGGAAGCTGATTTCAAATTTTTATGCCTTTATCATTATTTATGGCGTCTATATTTTCATGAATTACCATCTGTCCATTCATTACTAGTCTTTATTCAGAGTTAAAACTGTAAATTCTGTAAATACATACTTACTTGTTTAAATAAAGAGATTTCGTCGACATAAATGTATATTTAAATATCAGATTTATTAAGTACAATCTAAAGCGAACACCGGTGGCTTGTAAAAATCAATAGCTAGTTTCATCTCAAACTTCAAATTTATTCATTAGGACCTCATTTATTTAAATAAGGTGTCTTTTTTGTACTGCAAGTTCGTTCCCGTTACAGGTTTTTTGTCTTGATTCGCAATAGCAAACGGCGATTCGCGTGGCAAATTGGTTTTTTGAAAAAGTAATCACTATTTTTTGTTTCCTTGAGTATATTTTTGCATTAATAGGGGTCTACATGCATAAGCATTATATTTAAGGGAGTTGTCTTTTTACAACGGCTAACTGAGGCGCAAATGTATGATCTTTTAGGCGACAGCCAGAGCACTCACCCTCCCCTGTGGTCGACCTTACAACATGGATCAAAGTTGACAAATAAAGTCAAAAGTGAAAAATTATCCAATCTACCTCTCTAAATCTAATGGTGCAAATTTCAAACATGAAAATCAGAAATTATAATTGCGGAAGAGAATAACTTCCTACTATTTTTTGGAAAAAAGTAAAGCTTCCATTTTAGCTCACTAGCTTCTGTGGTTATCCGCAACATGACTGCCCAAGAAAGCTAATATAATTTTATTAAAGACCTTTTATTAATATGGCGACCTAAAAACTACCCGCTTATCTAGTAAAAATTGGTTACGTACCTATTCACTTAGTAGTATTTTCATTTAAAATAAAATATTATAGATTCCTAGCCTGTTCGTGAACACGCTTATTGTCCTAGACAGAGTATAAAGGCTAAAAGTCATTTTTGACGATGTGGGGCATCAGGAAACATGTATCATGACTACAAAACACTTGTACTATGCAGAGATTTGCGTAGGCGTTTTAATCACCACAAAAACCTGACAACTAGCAATATGTAGATGCGTGCAATCGTTTAAGTAGATTAAATATTGCTTGATTTCCTTTCCACTTGAATGATTCCTTTTTACTGATGAAATGCGCCCGTTTTTATTCATGCACAAAAACGGACTAGTGAATTTTTGACTTTGAATTCATTTGGGATATAACTGAATTATTGCGGTTCAAGAAACGCCACAAAATATATATGTGAAGAAAGGAAGAGAATAAGTTTTCGTGTTTCTTAAGGAGACAAATAATAATGTCAACAGATAACTAAAGGTTTATAAAATGGACACAAATTATAAGAATTGGCACAAACTTTGATGTTGCAGAATAGTTTGTGGCGAGAAGCAAGAAAACACGCTAGTAGCAAACGTGTGGGCCTGATTCAACTGATTTACGTGAAAGCACTTCATGAACTGACGTAAAGTTGGGCGACGCGCCATCTTCTTTCGGTCGGGCCTTGTCCGTGCAGATCGCCGGCCCTGGTGTGCTTATCTAACCGCAGTGGGGCCTGCTACAAAATGGTGATCCCACTACTGAATTCATTTGGCCTCCCACAAGCTAATAATCAGCGTTTGGCTTGGATAACCTATGAATCGCTCCGACTCGATTTATATTGCTCATTTTTTACCATTTGGCAAGCTTCCGATTCGCTCTTGAGGGCTTTGCTGCAAGATTTCGACGGACTCTCGCCACGTCCCTCAACATCTGACTGACTCGACTCCTAGTTTCTGATCTCGTCTACCTCACACGGCGAATGTACAATTAACTGCACACACCACTACTGCGTCAATAAATAAGTCAGGCTACGCGCCATCTGATTCCGTCTCTTTCTTCAGACGGACCATGTCGATGTAGATCGTCTGCCTTGGTGTGGTTTCCAAAACGGCATTTCGGCTGCAGCAGGTTTTTCAGAACCCAAGTCATTATTGAGGGCCCCGGCATGTTGTCTTGAGCCACGCCGGGGCCACTGCGACAATCTAGGCCGAATACGTTACCCTGCGTTCCCGCGAAATTAAAGAAGACCAGAGTGGAGAAGGCACAACCGTTTGCTAGACAGCTCAACCAAGTTGTGTTGCGTTGACCAGTACAGTTGAGTGGAGTACTAGAAACACAGGTGTCTAGTATGGGTAAGGCGAGTGGTGGTGGTGGTACAGAGGTGTTAACGAGCGGGCGGTCCCAGTGACTGACGGGCGCGCCGTGAAAAGGGGGACGTGTGTGTGAGGCTGTGACGACCAGGGTGTTTAACGTGAATCAACACGCTTCACTACATCATCAAAACTGCTAATACCCGTCGTACCGTAGCATTTTAAAGTGTTAAACAATCTATTCTGCCTTGGTGGCAAGTACCCTGACATAGTCATCCCTAACATCTATCTTTCGTTGGTCATGACAAGTGGTCTTGTTAGTTTCTCAATGTAAGGAAAAATTTGGCTTTTACTCCAAGTCTTCCCAGGAGGATATGATAATTTGTTTTGCGTTCACCCACGCGTGGAACAAACAACTTCTGGTGAATCGCACTTGTTTACATCTATCATTCAGGAGCTCAACAGGCAGTGCTATCTGTATTAATTAAACCTTCACTCTTCTGCATTTCGACAGCCGGTTAGTCGTCAAACACAAGAGGCCGTTTTTTAATAAAAAAAAAAGATTAATTTGAGAAAAAAGTGATTGGAACTGAGCAAACAGCTTATTTTTTAAATTCTGTTAATAGAGACAGGTATTGTGCTTAAATGCTCTTTACAAATCCAATTAAGTTCTAAAGTAACATTGATGAATTAAAACCTCTGCGTCTTTGGACGCACTGGAGTAAGAAGCGGTTTGTGGAATTGTCGAATGAAATTGACGACGCTAGAAGACTGATGACTATGTTGTCTTCAATTGGTTGTCCAGCCTATTTCTTTCCCTGACTGACCCACTTTACAAGCTAATTTGCAGGTAATTTTGAGAACGCCTGATTATCTCGAATTCACATCTCCTCTCCCATCACCCTCGAAGGAGGCAGGCAAAATTCGGGACAGCAGTTGCCCATTTGATTGCATGACTCACAACACCTGAGGTCAAGTGCAAGACGTGTGATTGCTTATTCATTTTTGAATTAGGCTGCTTTGAAGAGGAAGGGTTAGAGCGAACGCGCGTTGATTATGCAAACAGCCTTTTTAAGAGGTCGCAATAAATGAAACCGGTTTGAGTAAAAATCGGAACTGCAATTTCTTGAAGATGGGAAAAGCCTTCGTAAAATGTCCTAAACCACTCTCAAGCCCCGAAATGTTGAACTTTGATTTGTAAATTGGGATGATGCTCAATATTGATACACTACCTACATTACTGAATTGCTTGAAATAAAACGCTTGATGAGGCTCCCTCACTGGCCAGGGTTGTGTAGGGAATCGTGCTGGTTCACGTCCATTAACCCGACCGCCACACACTCCACGCCACTGATCTCCTTTTCACGGCGTTGCTGTCGAAATTGAGAAACTATCTGCCCATACACCCCTGCTCGCGTACCCCCTCAGTCCACCCGTCTTATTCGTCTGACCATTTAGTCATTTGCACTTTTACAGGTTAACCTAGACTGCATTGATCAGCAAACCTCGTTAATCGGACACTAATTTTTATGCGCTGGCACGACAGTCACAACTGGGTCGAGTCGTCAAGCGAACGTTTGTCTCTGTTATCTTATCAAACAACATGAATTTAAAGTCCTTGGCTTATCAGTGGTCACTTAATGTCGAGAGTAGGCGGACAAACTAACTCGCCTTAATGATTCGCCATGTAACGCAGAATCCTTGATCGGTATCACAATAATCTAAATTTAAAAACAAGCCATACAACTAATCATTCACGGAACTAACCAAACTTAGCAGTTTGCTCACGGAAACGGAAATGTTAACCCCTCCATTTACGGATGCGCATAATTCTGTCGGTAGAACACAATGAAAGACTCCTCTTGGCCGTGTCTTGTGTTGTTTGCAATTCTGGCTTCATGCTGACGTGTGATGCAATTTCGAAAGTAGATTTTTGCGGTGATCCTGTGTGTGGACCAATCGACGTGCGCCACAGGTATCCTCGTAGTGGCTTGGCAACCGTCTTTTTT